TGGGATGCTGGAATTTGACGCATAAAATTATCGATAGCGTGACCAAAGAAATTTTTGAATCGCCCACACACAATGGAATGACTGGCACAGACAAGAACATTTGTATCCAGATAGATGAAAAAAAAAAAAAAAAAAAAAAAAAAATTAGTTTGCATTTAGTTACGTTCTAATGAAAGGATATGATAAATAATAAAGAAAAAATAAAAAAGCAAAAAAAGTCTGTCCGCGGCCATCCAAATTTCTAATAAAGGGTACAGTTTTAAGGTATTCTTGATAAGAGGACTGAACCTCGGTCTCGAAAATTGTCCTCCACGGAATATGAGTTTGGAGACTTTTTGGAGCTGTCGGATTTAAGGTTTTAAACAAATAAAGTACACGGAGGCATTCCAAAATCGTTTTTATGGTGTTATGAACTTTCTTCTAACCACACGTTGATAAAACATTTGAGTAGGTGATTCGATGGACGCCATTTTTTGTGTCAGAGCGACGTGCGATATATCGCATCGATTTGTTCCATAATTTCAGCTACTTGTCACTTGTTTAGTTGTTTCGTATTTTGAGATCGCACTTCTGTTGTCATGAGACTGAAGAATTCATGTACCAAATTTGATCAAGAAATTCAACGTACTAAAGGCGTTGTTTTTTCAGAGGAAAAATATCGCATTCGAGTGCAGTTCCGATATCAGTATCTTTTGCGATATTCTTCCTCTAGAAAAACCACGCCTTTATTACGTTGATTTCCTTTGTCAAATTTGGTAAACGAATTCTTCAGTCTCATGGCAACAGAAGTGCGATCTCAAATTTCGAAACAGATGACAAGTAGCTGAAATTATGGAACAAATCGATGCGATATATCGTACGTCGTTCTGACACAAACAATGGGGTCCATCGAATCACCTTAAGGATATTTGCTAAGCCTTCTGCAGAATGACACACACAAAATGAACGAATCATGGCGCTTTACGTGTTCATTTTGTCCGCGGCACAAGCTTTTTTACTTCCAATAGAGACTTTGCTTCAAAAATGCACGTTTAATTGCATGCACGGACCGAAAAGAACCAACACAACCGCCATACTTTGCTCAAGAAGGAGAAGAAATCTTGAGCATATAGCAAGAGCTCTGAGCAGAAGTCCGCGATGAAAAGCGGAGGAAGCGAAGAGATGAAAATCGGAGCCGTAAAAAAACAGAAAAAGTGGAATTGTTGGCTGAACGTCCTGCGATGTGATTCTTAGATAAATATAAATTAGCCGCGCTACGGTAGCAGACACGACGGAAGACAGCGGCTTTGCCGCCATGTACGTGCCATCAGAATGTGAATTACTTTTCGAGCAATTTGTCACAATCGATCCACTCAATTCAAGGCGCAATCGGAATTCTTAATCGGCTCCCTGAGTTGAAGCAATTGCTTCGCTCCCAATATACTCGGCATTACCATATTTCAATTGAAAACTCCAGAGGAGGGAAAGCATTTAAAAAAGAAAAAAAAAAGATTCGCGATATTCACCGGCGTATCTATTACACTCACTCTGTAAGCCGCGTTTTGCCTCCACCTCATACCTTGCGCCTTTCCTCTAGGATGGAATAAAATTCAGGTTACTTTATAAAGATATTTTTTTAAGCAAATATATCATCGAGCTTATACATATCGCAGGCAAAGCCTTTGAATGCATAATAGCTATTAGTACAGCATTTGCATGTGCGTGAAGTGAAATCAGTGCCCTCAGTTGCGTTTAGGTTGAATAGGCAACTAAACAAACTTCATGACAAAGCGTGGAGCATCAAGAAAAAAAGAAGGCGCTTCAAATCGGCAGTATAATTTCAAAGTCTCTACCATCATTTATTACTGTCGGAATTAGTGCAATTTACCAAGGTAATTCGCAAGTTGCTTGCAAATTTCCAGAGATTGCTCGATGTATGCGACACTTATTTTGTGACTGAAATATCTTAGAACTGCACTTTCGCCTCCTTATTTTTGGTCTCATCAAGAATGAATAAATGAATTGGTCATTTCGTGTTCACCACTAGTTAAACTGAGGAGAGCTGACTTGCATGGTCTGAGAATAGCAGATGACGATATCGACAGCGATTTTCAAAATCCATTCATTGAGGAAAGGGACAGATCATTTTCTTCTCCATTAATTTAGAAGATTGTGCTATCAAACCATAATTTTACGACACGTGCAATTGGATCATTACATTTTGTAACTCTGTCACAAGATTTGTAAGGCTGAATTTTACTTTTCTCCTCTGATTCCCTTGGAACAACTTTTCTTCTTTATGCCCGTCACCGCCGGAATACGGATGTTTTTTGATACTTCAATGTTAAAGTAAATATATTTAAGAAAGAAAAAAAAAACCATTCTCGGAGCTATCAAGGAAGGCGCGAGTGTGGGGGGGGGGGCAGCAGTGG